ATAGAAAGAATGGACCAAAATGTACAGAAAAGTGACCGTGGTTAGAACCAAAATAAGAAATACTAGTTAAGTCGCCTTTTTTTGCAGGCGGATCAACATTCTAGATTTGGGTCTTTAAATTAAGCACAAGTAGGTTTAAATTAACTTCTTGTCGGTATTCCTTACATTCAATGAATTGCCTATTCAGTTTATTTCGATGACTTCTCTAATTTTACGTTTAGCCACAGACATACAAAAACCAGCAAAATGACAAGATTGAGACCGTTCAAACTCATTTTCAATTTCTATCATGTGCTCAGCTCGCTCTGATTGTTACACCCAACAGCCTCTACAGGCGCCTTGTGCTCAGCCACCCTTTGCCAAATAAAAGGATAAAAGGGGCGGTGAGGGTGGTCATCAAACCTTGATAGCCGAGAACAGACGTCACTTTGACGTTGGAATACCTTTAATTCGTTTGAAAAGATTCGTAAATTGGCCTCACCAGAAGCAGTATGGGGATTGCCTCGGAACTTTGATTGTAGATTTGTGCATCATCCTTTCTCCTCAGATGCATTTCGGAAATAACTGTATCACTATGCTTCCATTGCCAAAGTTCGCCACAATTGCCAATCCTAAATGGACAAAGGTCGAAGAATTCATTATACGCCTAAGTCCCTGCATCAGTGGTATCCATCTGGCGCCTTCTTTTTGCTCATACTTAGAACCTCAGATCAAGGTTTAAGCCCTTATTATGCATAAGCTGATCCAAAAGTTTGGTTTTGCAATAAAAAGCGTAATAGGGAAACTGATATAATGCCACCTCGAGGCGAGCTGGTGTTGTCTAGTTCAACGAATTAAGATGTGAAATAAGTCATACCGGCGTAACTATGTCAATTCAACTGATAGGTCTGTCTGGCATGTGTCCAAACAGTGGCGAGAAGAAAATGAGGCCGTTAAGGCGTGATTGAAAGATTTTTCCAGCCTTAAATTTCCGTTTATTTTCGAGGTCTTATTTTGCAGTTAGACAATGCAAATACGAAAAGAATTACCTTTTTCGAACATACTAATTCGATTCTGGGTGAATTCGTGGAACCAACATGCTCAAGTCGCACTATGGCAGAGTGGCATCCATTGTGGAATGCAGAAGTGCAGCAGAAGCAGAATGAAAAACTCCAAAACGTCTTCCGATGCTTCTCATTAATAATGACAAAAATTAGATAAAGAAACTCATTTCAATTGAATTCTTGTGCAACCCAACCTGATCTATAAACCTATGAATATATAAGGGAGTATAGATAGGCTTACCTGCAGCTTGGAAATCCGATTGAGCAGCGGGTTGGGTCGTCCACTGGCAGGGAGTCGAGCCAAATTGATCAAACCAAGCCCCGCAGCCTCGGTCAGAGAGCTGACGTCTGACTCGTCATCACAGGTGCCATCCAGACTATGGGCATCTGTCGAGGGGACAACAGGAGATCCTCGTGCCTCTAAACCCATCGGGTAGCCTTGTTGCAATGATTGTGGGCATTGAGAATGTTGAGAAAGCAACTTCTCCTGCGTGAAGTTGGCCAAGTTAGTCAGATCGTTCGAGAGCTGAGCAGGAAAATCAAAACAGAAATGGCAAATATTCAATGTATTAACTCACTAGAAGGCAAGGGATTAAAA